TGTCACTCGGGGGGGTTTTATACAAAGAGGTTCTTTTTACAGATGCGGGCAGATGGCAGCTGAAGACTTTGCAGACACTGTTGGACGAAGGGATTAATTTAACTTGGTTACAATATAATCAATTACAATTGAGATGGAAAGAGGACCAAAAAACTGGTATTATGTTGCACGAGGAAGAATTGGTTAGACATATAAGAGAGAAAGGTCCAATGCATATCAAAAGGCTTTATAATGTTTTGCTAGAAAGGGACTCAGAAACTGAATTAGTTAAAGACTGTATGATTAAGTGGGCACAAAATTTTGAAGAACCAGTGATGTTGGAAACATGGGAAAAAATTTGGGTCCAGAATGTTAAATTTACACAGTCGCAGAATTTGAGGGAAAATTTTTACAAAATGTTTTATAGATGGCATCTAGACCCTAAGAAACTGTCGTGTATGTATCCTAATGTTCAGCCAAAATGTTGGAGGTGTGATTCTACAGATGCTACATATTATCATATTTGGTGGACCTGTAAGAAAGTTAAGGCTTTTTGGATAAAAATTTGGTGGGTCATGCAGAATGTTTTGAAGAAAAAAATTCAATTTTCTCCACAATTGTTTCTATTGGGTATAGCAAAGGGTTTTACAGTGGATGAAACAAAGTTGATTTTGTATATGATTACAGCAGCGAGATTGTTGATAGGTAAATATTGGAAAAATGAAGCTTTGCCTACTGTTCAAGAATGGATTTTGAAGATGGCCAGTTTCGCTGAGATGGCGAAGATTTCAGCATATTTAAAAGACCGCTCACAACAGACTTATGAATGTGAATGGAAAAAATGGATAGATTATGTGCAGAACAAATATCAAACTAGGAAGTATCAAATAGCTTTTTATTGATAGTATTATATTACATTAAGATAGAAATATTTGAACTATGTGAAGATGAAAAATGATATGGGGGATGGGGGGGTTTAAAGTTCAAGGTTTTTTTTTATATAAAGGGGACAATGATGGGGTATACTCTATGGAAATCCGGGGGGGAGGGGAGGGTTAGGGTGGGTTAGGGAGGGTGGGTTGGGGAGTTTGGGGTGGGTTAGGGGGGTGAAAATGGGGTGAAAATGTAATTGTAAAACTTTTACAATAAAAAAAAAAAAAGACTGCTGTATTGCATCATACTGTGTCCTGATTGGTTAGCTCTGTAGCCAATCTCCTTAAGAGGGAGCTTGAAACATGGCTTGTTTCTCTTTGCTGTTCTTGCTCTCTGATATCTCTGTATGCTACTGTTTGCAAATCCAGAAGAACTGTTTATTGTGAATGACTATGATGACTGGTAAGAAGACTTTGTTATTGGATTATCCCTGGACTGTCGTTTTGCTATCTCCTACCTTATGTGTATGACCTGGACTGTTTATTAGACTGTGCCTTACTATTTCTTGAAAGTAAACACAACTCAGTGTATCTCTGTGTTGACTATGTTTATTCGTAAGTACTCTCAATCGCTTTCATGTGCACACCCTTGCTACTCAAGGGTTACTCTGCGAATTCCTTAACAGATGAAAATCACTCTTTCCCTTTTGAATATTTGCTTTGAAATTAATTGTTTTTATAAAACCGGGCTTGAGCCAAAACATTAAAAATGACCAGAATATAAGCGCTTTTACTTCATTCTTGAATTGTAGCAGGGGGTGATGTAAAAAACCCTAAAATTCTGATTGTTGCAGATGTATCATTGCAGTTATTTCTGATCTCTTTACTGACTTACTTGATTTTTTAGCCTGCCTTTATTCTTGCTTGTCAATAACTCGAGGCAGCAAATCTACCTAACACAGGTCGTCCTCGACTTATGATGACAATGGAGCCCAGAATTTATGTTGCTAAGTCAGAAATGTGTCCAGTGAGTTTTGCCCTGTTTTACAACTTTTCTTGCCACAGTTCTTAAGTGAATTTCTGCAGTTGTTAAGTTGTCATAAAGTCACTTTTTTCAGTGCCGTTGTAACTTCAAATGGTCACTAAACAAACTATTGTAAGTCGAGGACAACCTAACCTCAGTCCTCCTCCTATTTTCCCCACAAAACCCACCCTGTGATGTGGGATGTGCTGAGAGAGAGTGACTGGCCAGTTTTTCTTTTTCTTGTTTTGCAAAAAGTTTTTTAATTTTTTTCCAAACATACAAATTACATCTTTTCGGAACAGAGCTTTGATCCGGTCATCAATTTGTTCAGTTTTTGTCATCTTTAACAAAATTTTATCTATTCAATTTTGTCATAATGCTTATTTCTTAATCTTAAATCACATATTCAACTAATACCATCTTTAAAAAAAAAATTAACACATATTTACTTCATCAAAACAATTACCCTTCTATTAACCCACCTTAAATCATAATTCAATGAATGTCTCATAATATATTTCACAATTCTTATCCTAAATCCTCACTATTAACAGTACTATTCAACCTTGTTTATATTTCATGATGCTCATTAAATCTTTGTTCCATTCTTACTTTATCAAATTTAAGTCTTATCTTTAATCTTAAAGATACAGCAATTTAACCATTAAGCATAATTCTTAATTCAAATAATGCTATTTAATGCAATTTCCCAACTACCCTAAATTCTATTAAACCATACCATTTATATAACACCAATTAAGAAATTTTTGTTTATAAATCATAATCATATATTGTTTCAATTTTTATTTTTTTTTTAATTTGATTTATATGCCGCCCTTCTCCGGAGACTCAGGGCGGTTTACAATGCATTAAGCAATAGCCTTCATACTTTTGTATATTTTATACAAAGTCAGCTTATTGCCCCCACAAACTGGGTCCTCATTTCACCTACCTTAGAAAGGATGGAAGGCTGAGTCAACCTTGAGCCTGGCGAGATTCGAACCAGCAGAAATTGCAGGCAGCTGTATTAATAACAGGGTGCACTAAACCCCTGTACTATCAAGGCTCTCTTTTCTTTTCTTTTTTACTTAGATAATAAATGTTCAAATTATTACAATTGTTGTACATATTTAAAAAATATCCCAATTATTATAGCTATCATTTTTCTAATTTAACCTTTTTTCTTATCCTTTCACTGTTACTCTCAGTCTACACACCTTTATTCCGCTGTTAATCCCAGTGTAATCATCTTTATTTTCCTCACTGTTAATCCCAGTGTAATAAGATTTGTTCCACTGTTAATCCCAGTGTAATTATCTTTCATAATCATCTTTTACTTTTGAAGATATATTATTAAAAATATTCAAAATATAAATTGTTATAAGTATTTAAACAATATCCCAATTATCATAACCATCAGTTTTCTCAAGAAGCACCTTCTAACATCTTAATTAAAAAAAAAATGGTTCATTATGTCCATTGCTATATTTTCTTTTTTAACTTAATTCTATTTTCCAAATATTTTACCCTCAGAGCCTATTTCATTTCTATGTTTCTGTAACATATTTCTTCTCATATTTCTTCTCATATTTATTAATCTCAATATAGTCATTTTATAAATCCAACTCCTAGACTTTTTTAATTTCCTTAATATTTTCCAATCTTTTATTCTTTTATCATTCACTGTTAATCCCCATGTAATCATCATTATATAATCATTAATCTCAATATATTCATCATTATATTATTGTTAATCTCAATATAATCTCTAGAGACCTCCTTTTTATTATTGCTATTTGCAGTTTAAAAAAGTAAGGGAAAAAAGGATCTCTTTATTTCTCTCCAATCCTTTGACCATAACTGATTGTTTAATGTTTCCAAATAGTTTATTCAAAAATCAATTTTCAATTGGGTTTTTATCTCTTCAAAGTTACATTTCAAAATCTTCTTTGCCTCCATGCTCCTTAGCAGGGGTGAAATGCTCCCGGTTTGGACTGGATCGCCCGATCTGGTAGCGATGGAGGCGAATGGTTCGGAGAACTAGTAGCAAAAATCCCTGCCCCCCCATGCCCAGCTGAGCCGCGCGATCAACAGAGGTTTTTTTCTTTTAAATGCCTCTGAGGATCCAAGCTGAGTTGCCTGATCGTCAGAGGCATTTAAAAGAAAAAAAGCCTCTGCCAATCAGGCAACTCTAATTTAGCTGGGATCATCAGAGCCTTTTGAAAGCATTTTTTACAACCTCTTCACTGAAGAGGTTGTAGAAAAAATGGTTTTAAAAGTTAAAAAAAAATTGGCCACACCCACCCAGTCACATTACCACCACCACCACCAAGCCACACCCACAGAACCTGTAGTAACAAATTTTAGATTTCACCACTGCTCCTTAGCCGCTATTACACATTAGGGGTCTTATAATTGTAAGATGTTTCTCTTGTTATTATTCAAGCCTGAGTTAGCTGTCACTCACCCAGCTTCAAAAAAACTCTGGTCCGTTCCTCTCTTCCTCCAGCTCTACACTTAGTCCGGTTGTCCCAGCTTCGTGGCAGCCGCCCTGGCTGCCGCCCCCCCGCCATCGACTCACAGAGAGTTCCCTCTGACCTCCGAGGAACTTGCCTGTTCCTCTTGGTCGTCCGAGGTGCCTCTCTTTCTTCCCCGTCCCTACAGGATGGTTCCGGTCCGAAGACCCATTAGTAGCGGTTCATCTGGCGGGGTTTTCGCGATGCCCGCTAAGTCCCCGACTGTCTCGCCGTGACACCAAACCGGAAGTCACTGGCGTTTTTCATGCTTGAAGTGGGACTAGAACTCCCAGTCTCCTGGTGATTGGCCCATGTCTCATTGATGGGACTCTGCTCCAAACCTCTTGAGTTGACTAGGACCACATCCCTTGGGGTCTTCAGGAGTATCTCATCCGAGACCAGTTCAAAGTTCTTCTTGTTTATCTTTTAATGTTGGGTTCATCACTTCTGTAAAAATGTCCTCTGCATTTTTCATCGCACCCCCTTGGAGTCTGCTGGGCTAAATGCAGGACGGAGGGGAGTTGGTTGTGGTGGTGCATCCTGCATTTTGGGGAGTAGATTGCAGAATGTGATACATCCATGAACGCCTCGTCTCTTTTACCCTTCTAGGTGTATCGTGGTAGTTGTGATTGCACTTTGCTTTATTTACCTGGTCAAGACAACGTACGAGTCCAAGACATGTGAAACAGCAAGAATTGACAAGGTCAACCCTGATCATGCCAAGGTCAGCTCACTGTTGTAATAAAGGGTGGCAGAATAGTAGTAAGCAGTGGTGCAGAAAAGGCTTATGAAAATTTTTCTTTCTTTCCTTCCTTCTTCCTTCCTTCCTTCCTTCCTTCCTTCCTTCCTTCCTTCCTTCCTCTTCCTCTTCCTCCTCCTCCTCTTCTTCTTCCTTTTCCTCTCCTCCTCCTCCACTTCTCCTTCTCCTTCTCCTCTTCCTCCTCTCCTCCTCCTCTTCTACTCCTCCTCCTCTTCTCTTCCTCCTTCTCTTCTTCTCCTCTTCTTCTTCTCCTTCTTCTCCTCCTCCTCTCCTCCTCCTCCTCCTCCTCCTCTTCTCCTCCTCCTCCTCGCCTTCTTCTTCTCCTCCTCCTCCTTCTCCTCTTCTCCTCCTCTTCTCCTTCTCCTCTTCTCCTCCTTCTCCTCTTCTCGTCCTCCTCTTCCACTTCTCCTCCTCCTCCTTCTCCCTCCCCCTCTTTTAACCACTGTGGCCAGAAAGGTCATAAAATAGAGCAAAACTTGCTTAACAATTCTCCTCCTCTGCAACAGAAATTTTGCACTCAATTGTGATGGTAAGTTGAGGCCTGCCTATATGTTCTAGCCATTTCTATAACAACAAACATATCTATTCATTTCTGATTTTTCATGGAATTACGGTTAACGGTTTTTTGGTTAACAGTTTGAGGGGGATCTTATTCACAGATGGCGTATCAGTGAGTAGAAGTGTACAAGATATGTGGATATTTTTTAAAAAGTATTACTGCATATTCTGCATATTCAGATACACCCATCCGGAGATAAGCAAAACCCAAATGACTCAGTTAATATTCATGAATAGTATATACAGTAGTATGAAATCCTTGGATATCTTATTTTCCCCCTTAATTTTGTTTTTTCTTGGAATACACATTTGTATACACAAATGTCAGAAGTTGAAAAAGTATGATTATGTATATCTAAATGGGAATATCACTCATCAGAAGTGTATACAAAATATATTGATCCAGATGCTCCTGGATTTATCTCAAAATACTAGTCACCAGGGGTGAAATGCTCCCGGTTCGGACCAGATCACCCGATCCGGTGATGGAGGCAGGTGGTTCGGAGAACCAGTAGCAAAAATCCCTGCCCCCCCCATTGCCCAGCTGAGCTGCGCGATCATCAGAGGCTTTTTCTTTTAATTTTTAAAAGCATTTTTTCTACAACCTCTTCGGCCGAAAAAATGCTTTTAAAAGTAAAAAAAAAAAAAAAGGCCTCTGCCGATCAGGCAACTCAGCTGGGATCGTCAGAACCTTTTGGAAGCATTTTTTTACAACCTCTTCCCCGAAGAGGTGGTAGAAAAAATGGTTTTAAAAGGAAAAAAAAATTGGCCACGCCCACCCAGTCACATTAACCCCTCCCCCACCAAGCCACGCCCGGTAGTAACCGGTAGTAACAAATTTTAGATTTCACCACTGCTCGTCAACGCTACCTAAACTCTGACAACACTGTTTGCTAAGCACTTACGGATGTTAAAGAAAAAAATATAAATAAAATCATATACATATATAAAAAAATTGTGTTAAAGATTGGACGTCAAAGCAGAATAGATGAAAAAAATTGCACGCCACATCACTGGGTTGTGTCAATTGCACATTCTTAACACACACACACAAAAAATAGGTTTCATGACCGGCTGGTACGTTTTGCTGTTCTAGAGAGCTCAGAAATACGCAGAAGGAATTTTGCAAGCCAAGTGTCGCCCGTCTTTTGCGAAGACCAAGCTGAACGAGCTGTTTCCCAACAAGTACAACCCGGACCTCCTTCCCTTTGTAACGGAAGATATCGACGCTCAGTCCGATCTCTTTAAGTATCAGCCCCCTTTCGGCTTTCGGAATCTTTTGGAGAAGCTTCGAGACTTGGTCCAACTTCTACCTGAACAAGATCTACCGGCAGAGCTGCATTCGAAATCCTGTAAACATTGCGTAGTTGTGGGAAGCAGCAACGTATTACACGGGTTGAAGCTGGGCTCCTACCTGAATCACTTTGACATTGTCATCAGGTACGTCTTGGGTTTTTGTCTGAGGTCACAAATGGAAAGAGGGTCTATTAACAGAATGGGAAGGGGACCTTGGAGGTCTTCTAGTCTAACCCCCTGCTTGAGAAGGAGACCATACCATTCCGGACAAATGGCTGTTCAGACTTTTCTTAAAAACTTCCAGCCACAACGTCTTGAATTTTGTTGAATCTGGTGGTGAAGATTTCCAATTAAGATAGTTCAACTTTTATTTTCCCTTTGGCTAAGACTTTAAAAAATAAAATAAAAGTGTATTTGAAACGTTTATATTGGTGCCTATCTAATACCAAATTCTGGGCAGCTCCCAATGGAAAATGTTCTGTTTCACAGTGAATCTTAAATTTGGTGGTTACCATGTACCATGGATGGAAGCTATTCAAGGAGAGAAGCAACCTGGAACAAAGGAGAAATTTCCTGACAGTTAGAATAATTAATCAGTGGAACAACTTGCCACCAGAAGTTGTGAATGCTCCAACACTGGAAGTTTCTAAGAAGAGATTGTCTGAAATGTACAGGGTTTCCTGCCTAAGCAGGGGGTTGGACTAGAAGACCTCCAAGGGCCTTTCCAACTCTGTTATTCATGCATTTTTAAAATTACACGTTCAGTTGCATTGTGCACTTTGTTTTACAGGTTAAATGATGCACCTGTTTGGGGATACACAAATGATGTCGGCAACAAAACAACAATTAGAATGACCTATCCTGAAGGAGCTTCTTTATCTCAAGACGAATATTTTCCAGATAGCTTGTTTGTGGCAGTATTATTTAAAACGGTTGATTTTGAATGGATAAAAGCAGTGGTGAAAAATGAAACATTAGTAAGTAATTATATTAAATATTGCATTTGTATGAAATAATAAGCGACACCAGAATTGTACTGCTTGTGTGTTTACTACAGCAAATTTCCATTTTGATTTTTTCCCCCCTAGCTGGCCACTGTTATTTTTGCCTAAAATGTTTGGCTTTGGTGGAAGTAATACGTCTAATGTAGTATTACTGTATAAGTTATATTGATGTGACTATTAAATAAATTGCTATTAGCATTAAATGCATTGGCACCCTTTAATTGCCAAGCCACTCTTAAGAGCCTGTAGTACAGTGGACTAAGCACTGTTATTAACATCTGCTGCTTGCAATTACTGCAAGTTCAAATCTCACCAGGCTCAAGGTTGACTCAGCCTTCCATCCTTTCAAAGGTAGGTGAAATGAGGACCCAGATTGTGGGGGCAATAAGCTGACTTTGTATAAATATAGAAAAAATATGAAGGCTATTGTTTAACGCATTGTAAACTGCCCTGAGTCTCCGGAGAAGGGCGGCATATAAATTAAAACAAAACAAAACAAAAAAAAGGTTTACAGTGAAAAATTAAAAATAAACTAAAACTCGATCCAACAGAAACCAATATAACCATAAGAAATGTACTGAATTCCTATTTTATTTTATTTTTTTAAAATTTTTATTTATTTTTATATGCAGCCCTTCTCCGGAGACTCAGGGCGGCTTACAATGCGTTAAGCAATAGCCTCCATACTTTTGTATATTTTATACAAAATCAGCTTATTGCCCCCACAAACCGGGTCCTCATTTTATCCACCTTAGAAAGGATGGAAGGCTGAATATATATATTCATCTATTGAATATAGATGTTTTAAAAAATATATATATTTGTACTTCTCCTTAGGACTGTATATGCATTCATTGGCACACAATCCCAAATTTTATGTTTTTCCCCCCCTCCTGTTTATTGATTTTTAATTTGATTTTTATGATACTTTTTCTTGTTTATATATGCCCAACAAGTTGTTTAATTCAGTGCCTCCTCTGTGTGGTGGATGGGATGGGAAGATTCCTCAAAACACCATCTCATTTTAACCTGACTGCTCCAGTTAGTTAGTTAGTTAGTCCTTCTTTCCATCTCTGGCTAGAGATACCAAGTTTAGCCATTTTGAAAAATGTTGCAGTGGCATTTTATTTTAGAGGACCTAGTCACCCCTGGCAAAGAATTGGGGATTACAAGTAAACCTCACTTAATGACGCCCAGGTTTAGTGACTACTCAAAGTTATGATGGCGCCAAAAAGTAGCTTTGTGAACAATCCTCACTTTGTGACCGATGCAGCTTCCCACGGTCACATGATCACGGTTACACACTTCCCAGCCAGCTTCTGAGAAACCAGAGTTAAAATTGCAGCGCTGAAATTGTAAGCTGTGGTTCCCATGATGTCTTGCGTAACGACTTGTGTGACTCGCTTAATGACCCCAGGGGAAGTGACAACGTAACTCCAGCACGGTTCTGGGGTGTTTGGATTAGCGACCGTGTCGCTTAGTGATTGAGTTAACCTCAGCAGTGGCCTCTAAGTGAGACAACCAAGTATTAACGTATTTTTTGGAGTATTAGACGCACCTTTTCCCCCCTTAAAAAGGGGGTGAAAATCTGGGTGCGTCTTATACACCGAATGTAGCCCCGCCCACCCACTGGCCCCCACCCTTTGGCCTCTGCCTCCCAGCAATTTACCTCCTTGCAGCAAGCAGCAAGAAACAGCCCATTTCAGCTTCAGCACAGCCTAATTAGCACAAGTTGATTGTCCCTTGGATCGGCCTCCCGACTCTCAGCTGTTTCAGGCTGCAGGGATTGCCATGGGCTATTGCTGCGTGGGCCTCTGCTGCTTGCTGCAAGGAGGTAAATTGCTGGGAGCAGATTTTTTTTTTTTCTTGTGCTAAGCAAGCTAGGCTGAAAACGAAAATGAAAGTAAAGCAGGCTGTTTGCTGCAAGGAGGCAAATTTCTGGGGGGCAGAGGGAGATTTCTTTTTCTTGTTTTCCTCACCAAAAAAGATAGGTGCGTGTTATAATTTGGAGCGTCTTATACTCCGAAAAATACGGTAATTTTTTTCCTCCTGTAAAGGTAGTCCTTGACTTACAACAGTTCATTTAATGACCGTTCAATGTTACAGCGGCACTGAAAAAAAGGAACTTATGACCGCATTTCTGTGGTCACGTGATCCAAATTTGAACGCTTGGCAACTGGCATGTACTTACGACAGTTGCAGTGTCCCGGAGTCACATGATTCCTCTTTTGTGACCTTCCGACAAGCCAAGAAAAAGGGGGAAGCCCGATTCACTTAACAACCTGGTTGCTAATTTAAGAACGGCAGTGATTCGCTTAACAACCGTGGCAGGAAAGGTCATAGAACAGAGCAAAATCCACTTAACCAATGTCCCACTTAGCAACAGGAATGTTGGGCTCAATTGTGGCCATAAGTCGAGGACGAACCTATAATTAAATTCTTCATGGGAGTAATTGCTTCACATTAGGGTGGATTTGAATGCTTGTCGTAATTTGGGTGCATTTGTGTGTTGTTGTTGTTTTGTTGTTCAGCCACTCTGGATGCACCTCCTCTTTTGGAAGAAGGTGGCGATGAAAATACCTCTCATTCCGGGGAAGTTCCGGATTTTGAACCCGATGATCGTTAAGGAGATGGCAATGGATATTCTGCAATACCCAGAACCTCAGTCCAGCCTCTTCTTCTGGAATCGGGTCAGTGCACAGGTAGTCCTTGATTTATGACCAGAATTGAGCCCAGAATTTAGGTTGCTAAGTGAGACAGTTGTCCTCGATTTACAACAATTGAGCCCAGAATAATATCCTTCCTCCCCCTCCCTCCCTCCCTCCCTCCCTCCCACCCACCCACGGTGCTCAGTGGTTGGAATACAGTAGTGCAGCCTAATTCTGCCGACGGCCAGCAGTTCGATTGTCACTGGTTCAGGATTGACTCAGCCTTCCATCCTTCCGAGGTGGGTAAAATGAGGAGCCAGATTGTTGGGGGGCAAGAAGCTGACTCTGTAAACCATTTAGAGAGGGCTGTAAAAGAACTGTGAAGCGGTATATAAGTCTTAAGTGCTAATGCTGGAGTTATTGTCCCTTCCTTCCTTCCTTCCTTCCTCCTCCCTCCCTCCCTCCCACGGTGCTCAGTAGTTGGAATACAGTAGTGCAGGCTAATTCTGCCGACTGCCAGCAGTTCGATTGTCACTGGTTCAAGATTTATTTATTTTTTTATTTGATTTATATGCCGCCCTTCTCCGGAGACTCAGGGCGGCTTACAATGCGCTAAGCAATAGCCTTCATCCTTTTGTATATTTATACAAAGTCAGCTTATTGCCCCCACAAACTGGGTCCTCAATTCTCCCCATCCTTAGAAAGGATGGAAGGCTGAGTCAACCTTGAGCCTTGGCGAGATTCGAACCTGCAGTAATTGCAGGCAGCTGGTCTTAATAACAGGGTGCCTTAGACCACTGTACTACCAAGGCTCAGTCTTAAATATATTTAAGACATTTAAGATTTAAGTCTTAAATGCTACTGCCATGCTTGCAAAAGGAATAAATACCTTGCTCTGGTTCCCTTCTAGAAGATACCCACGATTGGCATCATAGCCATGGTTCTAGCTACCCATTTATGTGACGAAGTGAGCTTAGCCGGGTTTGGCTACGACCTGCATCATCCCGAGGCACCTCTGCATTATTACAACAACGTTTGCACGGTGGCCATGAGGTGGCAACCCATGCACGACGTAACCCAGGAGACGCAACTACTGCAAAAGCTGGTCAGAGAAGGCGCCGTAAGCGATCTCAGCGGGGGAATCTACTGCCACTTCTGCAACAAGCCAGGCTAACGGTGGGATCAGAGATCGACTTTCGCGTGTTCTTGCAAGCTTCCCTTGATTGGGAAAAAAAAAAAAGCCACGTTCGTATTCCACGCAGATCATGCGTGACAACTTTTCGGGGTTCAGTGTTTATTTAATATTTGGCAGAGGTTTCTGAATATGCATCATTACTTCACACCTAACTGGTATTTGGTATCATTGTAAGACACAGCACTTCTGAATGGTTTTTGTCTGGACACATGGAGAATGAATTTATTATTTTATTTATTTATTATTGAATTTCTATACCGCCCTTCTCCCTGAGGACTCAGGGCGGTGTACAGCCAGAATTAAAAAACATGCAGGACAAATATTAAAAAACAATTAAAAGATATATAAATTTGGCCCAATTAAAACTCACTACCAATTAAAACAATTTAAAACATTTAAAAACATTTAAAAATTTCTTCTTAAGCCAGCCCGGCTTGCTTGAAAAAATGGGTTTTAAGGGCACGACGGAAGGCACCGAGGTCCTGGATTCTCCTTATCTCTGGGGGCAGCTGATTCCAGAGGGTAGGTGCCCCCACAGAGAAGGCCCTCCCCCTGGGGGTCACCAGCCTACACTGTTTGGCTGATGGCACCCTGAGGAGGCCCTCTCTGTGGGAGCGCACGGGTCGATGGGAATTGCGAGCAGTCCTCGACTTAACGATCAAACGAGGCCCAGAATTTCTGCTACTAAGTGAGGTAGTTATTAAGTGCCTTGAGCCTGATTTTATGAGCCTTTATTTTATTTTATTTTTTATTATTATTTTTTTGCAATTGGATGTTAAGCGAATCAGTGCGATTTTTAAGCGAATCCATCTTCCCCCAACACACACACCCTAGTTGACTTCGGAAACCGGCTGGGAAGGACTCCATTTTAAAATTTATTTATCAAATTTAGAAACTGCTGTCTCCACCCCAGCGGGACTCTGGGTGGTGCGGAAGTAAAAATATGAAAACGTAAAAATTGTATAAAGTTTAGGTAAGAGGCAGAGATTGTTACAATTCAACATTAAAAGCTAATTAAAAGGTGGTAGGGTCTAACCAGCTCCATGCATTGTGCTCCTCCTTGAGAGCTAAGCAAAATGCTGAGTCTTCGGGCATTTTTGAAAGACCAGGAGTGCATGTGGGGGGGGGTCTGCTTCACCTCTTGGGGGGAGGGTGTATCAAAAGGTGGGGGGCAATGGTAGAGAAGGCTCTCCCTGGAGAGCCAGTCAGAATTATTTAATTGATGGGGTTGGGAGAAGGAGTGGCCGAAATCGGTGGTGGAGTCAAAAGAGGAGCTAGCCTAGAATCCTACGTAGTCACAAGCAAACTTAAGTCCAATCGCCTTTAAATTCCATTGACTCTTAATCTTGACTCCACGCACGAGTTGAGAAGATTCCCATTCATAGGATTTTATCAATAAATCAGTTTAATTGGATATCTATGGAGATTCTCCATCATCCAGGTCATGGTCTTCCCAAAGATGCTTTTTTCAAGAGGCAACTGGACTTTCTGGTTTTTCTTTGAAGATGTTTCGCTTATCATCCAAGAAGCTTCTTCAGCTCTGACTGGATGGTGGGGAAGGGAAGGATTTATACTCCTTGCAGACAGCTGGTCACTTGCATCCTTTTAGAGAGTCATTGAGGCCACTTGGAGGTTTACCTGTGATCTCAGGGTCACCTGAGTAGTGTGGAGCCTTCTTGGAACTGTTGAAAGGACTGCGTTGTAGATTGATGATGTCATATCCTTCCTCCTCTGTTGAGAGAAGGCTGTTCAGTTTTGACATAAATGACCTCTTTGACCCCTCTTTCAAACCAGCCGTCGTCTCTGTCCAAAATATGGACTTTGTTGTCTTCAAAAGAGTGGCCTGTGTCTTTTAAATGCAGGTGAACCGCTGAATTTAGTCCGGATGTGTTTGTTCTGCTATGTTGTGCCACGCGTTTGGGAAGTGGTTGTTTTGTTTCCCCAGTGTACAGATCTGCACATGGCTCACTGCATCGTACTGCCTATACCACGTTGCTCAATTTCCATCTGGGTGTTCTATCCTTGGGGTGGACAAGCTTCCGCCTTAGTGTGTTCTTGGGTTTGAAGTGTGCACGTCTGTTGTGTTGGCTGAAGATCCTCCTGAGCTTTTCCAATATTCCTGCAATGTACAGAATGACAACGTTGCTTCGTTTATTGTTCTCATCATTGTCTGTTACAGAGGAGGGTCTTTTTTGATGAAGGCCCACTTGGAATAGCCCTCAGAATATGTGGCTTTGATCATACAACTCCGGGTTGCTTCAACCATCATAAGTTCATGCCAATTGCGAAGCATCTGCATTTTAATTACATGACCTGTGTATGTGTGGTGATAGTCCTAAGGCCGAGGTTGTAAGTCACTTTTGCAGTGCTATTATAACTGGTCACTAAACAAATGGTCGTAAGTCGAGGATCGCCTGTATAAGTTACTTGTTCAAGGGACGGTTTAAAAAATTCTGTTATAATTGTGGATTACAGTATTATTTTTCCGGATAAGTTTTTACTCTGCTCTACTCTTTTATCTGCTTGCACACCGAGATTTATTATTTATTATTTATTTTGTCGCATTTCTAGAAGAAAGAAGACATTAAAACGTTAAAACACATACATTCCAATTTGTGGCCGGGTCTCGCAAGATCACTGTAACGAGATCAACGGCCTCAGGCCTGCTGGAAGAGCCAGGTCTTCACCGCTTTCCGGAAGGCCAATAGGGTGGGGATGGTCCAGACCTCAGGAGGTAACTGGTTCCAGAGAGCTGGGGCAGCCACAGAGAAGGCCCTCCCTCGCGGGCCCGCCAGCCAGCATTGTTTAGCTGACGGGACCTGGAGGAGACCAACTCTGTGGGATCTTACTGGTCGCTGGGAGCTATGCGGCAGAAGGCGGTCTCGAAGATAGCCTGGTCCTGAGTCATGTAGGGCTTTAAAGGTAATAACCAAAACCTTGAATTGCACCCGGAGACTGATAGGAGCCAGTGCAGCTCGCGGAGAATTGGTGTAATGTGGGTGTATCTAGGTGCACCCACTATAACTTGCGCAGCTGCATTCTGGACCAACTGTAGTCTCCGAACACTTTTCAAGGGTAGCCCCATGTAGAGTGTGTTGCAATAGTCCAACCGTGAGGTGACAAGGGCATGAGTGACACTGAGGAGAGCCTTCTGATCCAAATAGGGTCGCAATTGGTGCACCAGACGAACCTGTGGAAAGGTCCACCTAGCTACAGCTGTCAAATGTTGTTCCAATCTCAGCTGTGAGTCTAGAAGGACATCCAAATTGCGAGCCCGTTCTGAGGGGGGCACTTTCCCCCCAGAACCAAGGATGGACAATCGACATAGTCTTTAGGGGGCAATACCCAGAGCCATTCGGTCTTGTTTGGGTTAAGTCTGAGCCTGTTGACTCCCATCCAGATCCTCACAACCTCCAGGCACCGGCACATCACATCTACCGCCTCACTGAACTGACGAGGGGTGGAGAAATACAGCTGGGTATCATCAGCATTTTGCTGATATCCCACCCCGTGTCGTCGGATGATTTCACCCAGTGGTTTCATGTAGATGTTAAATAGGAGGGGAGAGAGGACTGAGCCCTGAGGCACCCCGCAAACGAGGGGCCTAGGGGACAACCTCTGTCCTCCTACCAGCACTGACTGTGATTGACCAGAGAGATAGGAGGTGAACCACCGCAACACGGTGCCTCCCACTCCCAGCTCTCTTAGTCGCCCCAGAAGGATACCATGGTCAATTGTATCAAAAGCCGCTGAGAGGTCAAGTAGCACCAAGATAGAGGAATGACCCCTGTCTCGGGCTCGCCAGAAATCATCCATCAGCGTGACCAAGGCAGTTTCCGTGCTGTAGCCAGGTCTGAAGCCAGACTGAAAAGGGTCCAGATAATCCGTTTCATCCAATGAAACAGAGCTGAAGTGCCACCACTTTCTCTACAACCTTTCCCACATAGGGTAGATTGGAGACTGGATGAAAGTTTTTTAATTCTGCTGGGTCCAGGGAAGGCTTCTTGAGGAGGGGCCTTACAACCGCTTCCTATAATGGCTGCGGGAAGGATCCCTCCCTCAAGGACGCGTTAACTAAAGCCTGGAGCCAGCCTCGTCTCGCCTCCTTGCTGGCCGAAACCCGCCAGGAGGGGCACGGGTCCAACAAACAAGTGTCGCCCCTACAGCCTTGTCCACTTCCTCAGGAGTCACAGGCTCAAACTCATCCCACACAATAGGTCTAAGACCTGCCCCCATCATCTCGGTCGGTATTGCCCAATCAGAGTCCAGGTCCATCCGAATCTGAGTGATTTTATCTGACAGAAACTGCACAAATTCCTCAGCTCTACCCTGCAAGGGCTCCTCCGTTCCCCCAACCTTAAGGAGGGAGCGAGTTACCCTAAATAGGGCGGCTGGGCGAGAATCCACGGATGCAATAAGTGTGGAAAAATGTGAATATTTTGCCGCCCGTATCGCCACTAAGTAAGTCCTAACAAAGGCTCACAAAAGTGTTTGGTCGAATTTGGATTTACTGGTCCTCCAGTGTTGCTCTAGACGTCTCTTCTGGCGCTTCATCTCCCAGAGCTCCTCGGTAAACCAGGGAGCTTTCCTGGATCCACCGCCATGGAGATTGCAAAGACGCAATCCGGTCCAGTGCCCCAGATGCCGCCCTATTCCAGGCAGCCGTCAGGGACTCAGCCGGACTGTGGACGAGGGAGTCAGGTATCTCCCCAAGCTCCTTCTGAAACCCCTCAGGGACCATTAGGCATCTGGGGCGGAACCACTTAATCAGCTCCACCAGATAGATATTGTACCTATGTAAGATGAATAGTAGAGAGGCTCCAATCCAGATTAGTCCATAATAATAATATGCTGTTTATTTTTTATGGGAAAATAAACTTGGGAGTTACACTGATGCTGCATTATCAGAAGGTAAAAGGCAGAAGGAAAGAGGGAAATAAAGAGTTTATTGTAAATGTGGGGAAGAAGGGTTTTTAGTTTTAAAGTTTTTAAATTTTGGGGGTTTTAAATTAAGCCAAATTTATTTAATACTTTTAAATTATTTTAAATTGATGTCTATTCTGTTTTTAAATAGGCTGTACACCGCCCTGTGTCCTTCGGGAGAAGGGCGGTATAGAAATAAAATTATTATTATTATTTATTATTTAGTTAGAGTGGGGGGGGGGAGTTGCCCCCTCACCCATCTTTGCTCTCTGGGAATTTTCAGAAGGCAGAAATTAGAAAAGACACCGTCACTTTGGTGAAAGTTAGATACTTCGCTGTACATATGAAATTCAGTTCCTTCCTTGCACCATCTCTGATGTACATTAATATCCCCAAGGCAGCTATCAAAAGAGCAAAAAAAGCAATAAAAGCACAAAGTGGTGCAATTTACACAAACCATATAAAGTAAAAAACCAGCCACTGAAGCGTTCCCGTGAGCAGACATTAAGAACCTGGGATAGAAACTATTGCATAATAGAACAATAATGATCGCAGGTTGGGGTTCAGGATGGACAACTGATCCCACCCTGGTTTTGCAGGGAACAGAAGACAAGGCCGAGAAATTATCGAAATAATTGTGTCTCATCCTTTAAGGATGTTTGAGGAGTTTGAAATGATTGATTCGTCTTCAATTTCTTGATTGCAAGTATTTAAATGTGGTTAGTAAATGTGTTTCCAGAGGTGAAAAACATGATAGATACCCAACGGAAACGAAAAGAATACATGGACATATATGAAGATTTTCCATCGTCTGGGTCATGGTTGTCCCAAAGGTGCTTTTTCATGAGGCAACTGGATTTTGTTTTTTGTTTTGAAGACATTTCGCTTCTCATCTGAGAAGCTTCTTCAGTTCTGCTGAATGGTGGAGGATGGAAGGATCTGTATTCCTTGCAGTCATTGGCCGTTAGCTCTCTTTCTGAGAATCGTTGAGGCCACTTGGAGGTTTATCTGATTATCTATCCCAAGTGGCCTCAATGACTCTCAGAAAGAGAGCTAACGGCCAATGACTGCAAGGAATATAAATCCTTCCATGCTCCACCATTCAGCAGAACTGAAGAAGCTTCTTGGATGAGAAGCAAAACGTCTTCAAGGAAAAACAAAGGAAGTTCAGGTTGTCTCTTGTAAAAAAAACACCTTTGGGATAATATGTGGACAAACAATGTAATTAACTGATTTCAGGTTTCTTGATTCTCTGGGCACACGGACTGTATTATTTATTCCTGTATTATGTGAAGTTATGAAACAGAACCAATGCTGACCTGTAAGATAAATCTCAATGAATGGATGAATTATAAATCGGAAACAGGAATGCAAAAAATTACGAATGGGATATGAGAGGTTAGAGAAAAATGTAAAAGAAAATGAACTACTGTAAAATGGTATAATGACAATTGGAATTAATAAAGGACGCTGTTTTTAGGAAGAGGGGATTTAAATGTTCTTTGAACTGTGTGTCCTTCACAAGTAGAATTCTGTACTTGGTTGATTGAACAAACTAACAGGATGCCTCCGTGCAATCCATACCACTGGATACCAAGCACCAGTGAAGAATCCCCATCTGTGTGGGAGAAGAGTAGGATCCCAAGGATTGGTGCTTTGCAATTTGGTGAGGTCAAAGATGATTTACAAACCCCATTCCCTTCTAGCACTGATGACGTTACTTAGTTTGGTATTGAAACGTCTGCAAGAAAACCAAGCTCAGAGAGCACCAACGATCCCACAGTCCTCCTCCTCCTAGTAGTACTCCTCCTCCTCCTCCTCCACCTCCTCCTCCTCCACCCCACTCTCTTCTGCACTGATGACGTTTTTATTTATTTATTATAAAAAAATTTAAGAATTAAAAACAATTAAAACCCATTCACACCATTCATGGCCGGATCTCGCCAGATCGCAAGAGCGAGATCAACGGCCCCAGGCCTGCCGGAAAAGCCAAGTCTTCACCGCTTTTCGGAAGGCCAATAGGGTGGGGATGGTCCGGACCTCAGGAGGTAACTGGTTCCAGAGAGCTGGGGCAGCCACAGAGAAGGCCCTCCCCCGCGGGCCTTGTTTAGCTGACGGGACCCGGAGGAGACCAACTCTGTGGGATCTTACCAGTCGCTGGGAGCTATGCGGCAGAAGGCGGTCTTGAAGATAACCTGGCCCTGAGCCATGTAGGGCTTTAAAGGTAATAACCAACACCTTGAATTGTGACCGGAGATCAATAGGGAGCCAGTGAAGCTCGTGGAGAATTGGTGTAATGTGGGTATATCTAGGTGCACCCACAATAGCTCGCGCAGCTGCGTTCTGGACCAACTGTAGTCTCCGAACACTTTTCAAGGATAGCCCCATGTAGAGCGTGTTGCAATAGTCCAACTGTGAGGTGACAAGGGCATGAGTGACCTGAGGAGAGCCTCCCGATCCAAGAACGGTCGCAATTGGTGCACCAGGCGAACCTGTGCAAAGGTGCCCCTAGCCACAGCTGCCAGATGTTGCTCTAATCTTAGCTGTGAGTCTAGGAGGACACCCAAATT